GGTCCACTTGGGTTGGTCTTGGGTCTATGAGGGAATTAGGATAACGTGGATTATGGAGGAAACCAGGGGAGGTAAAACCAATTATCCAAACTTATAGTTGTTGTTCGTGCAGTTTCAGGCCTTCATGAATGCTGTGCACTAGGATAACCCTTTAACCCAACATATCCTTTCCCTCCCTATTTTCTTCTTTTTTCTTCTAAAAAAATATATATATAATAAAGTATCTCTTCCCTAAAAAAACTATAAGGAGCCAGAATATACACAAATAAGAGAAGACAGCCTTTTGAGCGTGTGGCTGCCACCCTCTGAGCTCACCCAAAATGGCCACGGAGCCCCATTTTGCTACCCAACAACCTACTTGTTCACCTCTTTGGTAAACCTCCTTCTGTGATCAACGAAAGCGATCATTAAAGCATACTGGAAATGCCTTACCGACGAAGACTTTCGGGGGGGATTTCAGCCAAAGTTCAAAATGGTTGGAGGGAAAAAACTTCCCTCCCCTTACCACATTCCTTGTCTATAAATATTGTTGTCCAAACATCTCAAGAGGAGGGGACGGGAAAGGAAAGGGAGGAAATGCAGGTCAAAAATCCCCATATTCTGGCTAATTTCCTTGGATTTTTGGTTTCTATTAGAGCGACCGATGGAGAATTCTATTCTCCATAACTTCCGGCGAAGTCCCTCTAGAACAAGTTTCTAGGCGTTCTCCCCATTGAAAGGTGTAACAAAAGCTCCCCGAAGCATCGAAATCCCTTAACCATGGCCTAACACCCCCAAGACTGAGCTTTGATCCCTCTATACACTACGTCTGTCGGAGTCATTGTATTCACAAACAGAGAGATTCGACTCCGTTACCCACTTAGGAACCTCCTCCATAAATTGGTCACATTTCTCTCTCACACTATATGCTCATTGGTAGATCCCCATCAGAAATTCTTCGTTGTCCTGGAGCTGAATCCGCAACAGGTGTCGCCCTCGGATACTGTCATCCTCGGGGTCATCCGGGTTGAGCCTACCTCAGTCGGGGCCAATCTCATCCTCTCGGCCACTATCGACGCCGGGAAGTCCCCTCAGCAGCTCTTCGACCACGTCAGTCAGCAAGAGCACAGTCATCACGAACCAAAAGGGGCCATGAGTCCTCTACCTTCCATGTCGATAGGCCCTCACCAAAAGAACCCCAACATTATTCTCATTAAACTATTGGTGTAAGCCTTTCTCTTTCTTCCACTTTCCACCGTAACAAACCGCGATTGTTATTTGAGTCATTCCCTAAGAAAAGTTAAAAATGTGTTACATATTGACAGAGACAATTGATATCGTATAAGGTAATAAGTTTGAACCATTTAAAAGAAAAAATAATTAATGAAAATTATAGCACATTCATCATTGATAACTGCTAATTAACATTGCCATACAAAAGCCCGTACCTATAAGCATAAACATGCCTAAATAAATAAAGATTAACCATAAAAATTTCAAAATCTTTAAAAAACCTTTTACCATTTAAGTCTATACAATTCAATTTGCATTGAATACGAATAATCTAATAAGAAATAAATCCCAAAGATCAAAAATAAAAATAAATATCCAAAGTTCTAGTTTATAATTCACAGTGAAACTCTACAGCCATTTAAGCTCTACCGTTGTTTTCAGTAGAAACTCTACTGCTCAACCAATAGTGTACCTCTATTGCGAGGTCGAGATTTCTATTGAATGGGATCACTGATTCATCTTCAACCTCCGCTTTTGAATCTTAAAAATTGCTAAAGCAATCTCAAAATAAAGAAATTGTCTAATACTTTGAGGTGTAATACTAGGAATGAAAAAAAACACAAAAAACTCATGGTTTTAACAAGAATTTAAAGCAAGAAGATAAATTAAATTAGATATTGACATACTTTAAAATCCCTAACTTGCAAAATTTGATTTTGAGAGTAAAACCTCCTTAAATTCAAAAAAATGGATCAATTTTCACAAATTTAGACTGCTTTGTTAATCAAGCACGGGTAGTAATCTCTCTAAAGTGAAAGACCCCCTCTGTCCTTTTTTTGCATTTATTTTCTTTTAATTTTTTTATTTATTTTTTGCTCTCTTTTGAAAGGGTAGTTTTAGACAATAAAAAACTTTCATTAAAGTCAATGGCATGCACCAAAAATTGAAAACTTTAGAGGCACAAAACTAAACATTACAGGTTTTAAAGGCAAAAACCAAAATCACCCCCGATTGGATTGGATTGGATACTTGTCAATACTCTTGATCATTATTAGACCTTGGGATTAACTTTCTAAATTTTGTTAATTAATTCCTTTTTGGTAACATTCTACCCTCCAAAAAAATTCCGGACATTAATAGGAGCAGTAACGACCATGGCCATGGGCGTCAGCCTAAGAGCCCAGAGCCAAAAAGGCCAAACGGGTCGGGTTGGGTTTGTGTGTTTGGGTCGGTATCAGATGGTTCACTGTCTTTACCCAAGCACATTGTCATGTCTTAAATTAAGGGCATGTTTTGTTAGAGTGTGATTTGAGTGTAGTTTTTGAGTTGAATTTGAGTTATAAATTGAGATAAAGTTGTTTGAGTTTGTGTTTGGTTGTGTACATTTGAGTTATGGTTTGAGATGATAATCTTTTTGAGTTTGTATTTGGGTGTATAATAAAACTTGAGTTGTGAATAGTGGGGAGAGAAAAAAATATTTTTTCCTTATTTTAATTTATTTAATTTAATGCAATTTAAAATACCACATCATCATTTTAATTACGTACATAGTTCAGGTTCAGAGCCATTTATGAAATTTTTCCAAAAAAAAAAAGCCTTCTAAACAATAATTAAACCACTCTCCCCAGACACATTAGCTGCCCAATAAACGACATCCTCCTCCGCCCTCGAATCCAGGTAAACGACAGAATCTCCCACCATCTCAACCCCGGACTTCGCCAACAATTCCTTGCAATCCCACAACCCAATCCACCCCAATTTCTAAGTGGACATTTAGTTCATGGATTCAGAACTATGATTTAGAATCATTCTCGTTTCACGTGTGTTTTTTATGAGAGAAAAACACTGTAGAGAACCATCAATCATAATTCAAAATCAGAGATGAATACATGAAACAAACGTCCTCTAAATCTCCTCCGACGATGGCTGGGTCATGACTTATAGGCGGTGTCGATGGAGATTCCGGCCGAGATTAGACAAATGGATGGTTTGGTTCCGTAGATCTGCGGTCGGAGAGTTATTTGGTGAGGGCAATGTCGTCGGACACGCGGCGAAGAATGCGTATAGGTGGCCGGCGGCAAGTACGCAGAGGTGACTGGCGGCGGAGGAGGAGGACTTCACCGAAGAAGTTCTCATGACGGAGGAAAAGCATAGCGCCTCGCCATAAGTGGGATGCCGGATAAGTTCAGGTTAGAGGAGAAGGACTTCGTCGGAGTTTTTTTAACAGTTTTGGGTGTGTTCGGCAGCCTAAAAACTCAAGAAAGGCAACTCAAGTTCCAATTTTATTCAAGTTCATGTTCTTTTAAGTTTGAACTCGAGTTTAAACTCGAGTTTGGGACTAAAACTCGAGTTCAAGTTTCCCCTTTAACTCGAGTTTAGAAACTCAAACTCAAATTAATGAATAATATTTTTTCTATTTTTAAAAATGCTATAACTTTTTCATTTTAATCCTAATTGAGATGATTTTTTTTCTATGCGTTGACAACGAAAATACGAATAAAACCTCACCCATATACCGTATTAAATTTTTCATCACCATTGAGTTTTTATTAAAATACTATCTAAATACAAATTCAAGTTTTGACTCACTCAAACACAAACTCAAAAAGATTCTTATCTCAAATCATAACTCAAATGTACACAACCAAACACAAACTCAAACAACTTTATCTCAATTTATAACTCAAATTCAACTCAAAAACTACACTCAAATCACACTCTAACAAAACATGCCCTTAATTTAAGACATGACAATGTGCTTGGGTAAAGACAGTGAACCATCTGATACCGACCCAAACACACAAACCCAACCCGACCCGTTTGGCCTTTTTGGCTCTGGGCTCTTAGGCTGACGTTTCCCCTACTCTCTATCGCAGCGCGTGGAGTTCCCTTAAGCCTATCAAAATCTCGATTCCCTCTTTTGATTGCAACCTCTCTCTCTGCCTCGATCTCAATATTACCATCACCATTCCCCTCTCTCTCTCTAGCTTTTTATATATTTTTTTCCTTTCTTTCATTTTCTTCCATTTTCTTGCTCTTTCCACTCTTTTTCTTCCGGGAACTTTCTCTCTCTCCCAATCCTCTCCCCCTCTTTCCTCCCCCTTTCTCTCTAGAACTAGAAAGAAAAAAAAAAATTCCCATTTTCTATTTGTCTCCTCTCCCTTCTCCTCCTCAAAGTCATGGCTTTGTTTTGATTTCTTGAAAATCAATCAATCAAATCAGTCATGAGACCGATTCAACCCCAGCCGCCGCCGTCGGCCTCCCCAACCACCGCCAGAAAGCAACGCCGCCGTCCCGACCTAACCCTTCCTCTTCCCCAGCGAGACCCAGCTCTCGCCGTCCCCCTTCCCCTTCCGCCGACCTCCGCTCCTTCGTCGTCGTCTCATCACGATCACCCAAACAGCATCAACGAAAACAACAACAGCAACAGCAGCAGCAGCAACAGCTACAGCAACAGAAGTAATCAGCTCATCCACTTCTCGGAGCTGGAGCGGGTGAGCCGCGTCGGGAGCGGCACGGGCGGCACGGTCTACAAAGTGATCCACAAGCCCACGGGGCGGTCCTACGCGCTCAAGGTGATCTACGGCAACCACGAGGAGTCGGTCCGCCGCCAGATCTGCCGAGAGATCGAGATCCTTCGCGATGTCGACAACCCTAACGTCGTCAAGTGCCACGACATGTTCGACCACAACGGCGAAATCCAGGTCCTCCTCGAGTTCATGGACAGAGGATCCCTCGAGGGACATAAGATCCCGCGGGAGCAGGACCTCGCCGACCTCGCTCGCCAGACTCTCCGTGGCCTCGCCTACCTCCATAGCCGCCGCATCGTTCATCGCGACATCAAGCCGTCGAATCTCCTAATCAACGCTCGGAAGCAGGTCAAGATCGCTGATTTCGGAGTCAGCCGGATCTTGGAACAGACCATGGACCCTTGCAATTCTTCGGTCGGGACCATCGCCTACATGAGTCCCGAGAGGATCAACACCGATCTCAACCACGGCCAGTACGACGGCTACGCCGGCGACATTTGGAGCCTCGGCGTGAGCATCCTCGAGTTTTATCTCGGCAGATTCCCGTTCGGCGTCGGGAGAGGGGGCGATTGGGCCAGCCTGATGATCGCCATCTGCATGACGCAGCCGCCGGAGGCTCCCGCCACCGCGTCAAGAGAGTTCCGAAACTTCATCGCGTGTTGCCTCCAGAGAGAACCGGGGAGGCGGTGGACGGCGTCGAGGCTTCTCGGGCATCCTTTCATCACGCAAAACGGCGCAGGACAGAACCAGGTGCACAACAATGTCCATCAACTTCTACCTCCTCCGCGCCCACTTCCTTCCTAGCCTAGCTTACTAGGTTTTCTAGTCCCATTTGTTTTTTTTTTTTTGTTTTTTTTCTTTTTCCTTTTGCCCCTATTACTTTGTCAAATTAATTTTCCTTCTTTGCTTATTTTTAACGATGATAGTAATGATTTTGTGTAATTTTTGATATGATGGGCCGTTTGATTTGGTTACTATGAAGGAAAAGGAAAAAAAAAAAAAAAAAAAAACGGGAGAACTTTGTCTGGGATTGTATTTCCCAGCTCCTGTTTAGAAATAAACCAATCAATCAATCATTCATTCTATCGGAGACAAATGAATCTGACTTTTTTTAATAAAGAAAAAAAGAATTGCCGTTTAGGCAAGTCACGCACTAGAAGAAGAGGCTAAAATGGATCAAGATGGTTTTGTTATCCCAATTTTGGTTAAATTCTTCTAGTTGGGTATTTTTAGGAAGAATCAAATATGAGAAAAACTCGAGTTTCTAAGGGCGTATTTTTTGGAGTTTTTGAGTTACGGGTATTGGACGAAGTGGGTAGATTTGATATTTTAGATGTGGCTTTGGTAATATTAATGGCAATGAATCTCTTTTTGTCTACCATCATTGCGATTACACTTGAAAGTATATTCTCTTTTATTTTGTCTTCTTTCAATTCAGTAATTCGAGTTTTTATTTAATTTAAATCGAGATATAATTTAATATATTATTTAATGTGAGAATTTTTAATTATAATAAAAAAAATTTGATATGATTTTTTATAAAAAATTTTAACTGTATTCAAAATAATGAAATGATCGAGCTCTTTATCTTCCCCTCCTTTGCCCCTCTCTCTTCATTGCCCTTTCTTTAACTTTCCTGTACTTAATTGAATCTCAAAATAATTATCCATTCATATGTTACCGTTTACCATTCATTGCATTCAAATGAGGAGCTAGGACTACTTTTTGCATCTTGGTCATATCAGTGTCTGTGTAAAAGATGTTTGATGCGATTTCTGGTGAGGGCTGAGTACAACACACTATTAAAATTTATCCTTGGGTGGTTTTATTTTGCTAAAAATGTTTATCCTTAGTGTTAATAGTACTGATGCACCAATGAATTTGTGTGTTTTGTATCACTTCTGAATGCAAGGTCAATTGATTATGCAATGTTAATTAACCAGTTCACTAGTCGTTCCAGTTGTTTCCTTTGGGGTTGTGGTGCTCATGTTTCCATTGGTATTTGAACTCACTCTGGGATTCTGATGATACCTAAAATGAGTGCTTCAGTTAAGGCGTAATCTGATTGTAATTGGCATTTCTTTTTCTTTTTTAATAAGTGATAATTAGTTATTTTCATTGGTTTTTTTTTTTTTTTTTTTCCTGGTAGACCAAAGTAGTTCTGTGATACCCCTTTGGATTTGGAATTCTCATGATGACCCTATTTTCGTATCTCAGTTCTTTTCTTAATCATTTCTTTTTTGCTTGATTTGGTTCCAATTTACAAGGCATCTTAACGTACTGTAAATTTATAATTCGGTTTAGTTTAGTTCAATTCAACTCAGTTTGAACAATGAGCACAATTTGAACTGATTTTAGTAAGCATGTAGTTTGAATTATATTATCCATTGTTAAACATCCCCTTTGAGTTCAACCATTCAAACTATTTTTAAATAATGAAAATGTGCTCACTCTCTCTTCTTTTTACACCTACTAAACACAACTTCGAATTTTATATTATGTTCAAATTAAAACTTTAACTGCACATTCAACCGTCAATTTAAACTACAATTTAAAATACACAATTTGAATTCTTTAATTTAAATTAAAAAATTCAAATCAACAAAATTCAAACCAGTAAACCAAACAGAGGTTTAGTTCTAACTTCCATCGGTTCTAGGAAAGAATTCCTATATATTAGTACAATATGATTAGTACATGCGTATTTTACAACTTTTGGAAGGATAAAATTTGAGGTAATTAAAGACCAATTGCGAATTACTTGGCGTAAGAGCTTGTTAGTTTCGTGAGTTTAAATGTGCAGGCTTTTGCTTGGTTGAAGTTATTGATATCTTGAACTTGAAGTCTTTTTATAATTCTCATTTCAGAAATGCTAATATTATTTTTTTCATCACTCTTTTTGTCAATTTACATTTATTACTTAACATGTGGACTGCATTCACATAATATATTATTATTTAAATAAAAAATGAGATAATATTATTGTAGTCTTTGTATTATGTTAATGCAGTTTTTGTATCAAACAATAAATGTAAAAAATAACAAAAAAATTAACAAAAAAAAATGATGTTAACATTTCTCGTCTCGTTACCATAACATAGTATATCCGTCTTAGTCTGAAGAAAAAGGGTGGTATGTAGATCTCACTGTTTTGACTTTTGCAATGCAAATGTCAATGGAAATAAGCATAACTCAATGTATTCAGTGCCTAGTGGCTTATACACTTGTGTAATGTGTATCTACTGTCCGCAATACTGACAAATAAACAAATACGAGCATTTTTCAAAACGAACGAGAAATTACCAAAAAATGTTATTATTGTTGTTGTTATAATTTTAGATATATAATAAAGGTTGAACGTGAGATCTAGACATTATAGGTGGGTCTGAAATGACCACCAAATTAAGCATAATAGCAGATGATTCTAATTACTATTGCTCTGTATATTGCAACAAAACAAAAGCATATTGCCAAGTCAGAAAATAAGGGAAGGTAGGATAAAGGGAGAAAAAAATGTTTAAAAGATTAATCAATTCAATCTACGCTCTTCTTAAAATTGTAAAACTACACCGAGAATTGTAAAAACACATGAGAAATGCATAACTATTTCTGTCACTTTCTTTTTTGTCACTCTCTACATTAGAAGCGAAAGTTTTGGCGGTCTGGCATGGCCCACTTTGAACCTGACTCAATCCTTTTATTTTCACCGTGATGGGTTTGGCTGACCCTTATCTTTTTAGGGCCGGCCCGACCCAAAATTTATAAGGTATTTTTTTAAAAGAAAATTTTAAAGGGTGTTCGGTACGGGTCGGGATGAGACTGTGTCAATAATATTAGACTCGAGTGTATTTACTGTTTGACACGTAAACTTCACTAACATGATATATTATTATTTAAATAGAGAATGAGATGGTGAAGCCACCATATTAAACAGTTAATACATATAATAACAAAGAGAATGATAGAAATAGATATGCTAGCATTTCTGAAAACACTATTTTATTTTAACTTTGTAACCCTTTTTTTATGAAATATAATAACTTTACTAGTTAAAAGCAGGCCGCGTGTGTATTCTTGCATCTTTTGATATAAAAATCTAAAATTTCTTTTTAACTTTTTTTATTATTTTCCTAATAGTTGAGTTTAGCAAACAAAAAATAATATATCAAATTTAAAAGGGCAAATTATAATAGAGAAAATTAGATAGTAAATTATTTATGCAGTATATATAAAAATGTATTTGAGAGAGTTGTATGATAAAAAAGTTAAGGTGAGCATACATATGAGAAAAAGTTATTTGAGAAAGGCAATTGGGGAAAGGGGAAAAGGGAAAAGGGTAAATTATTTGAGAAAGGCAATTGGGGAAAAGGGTCACGGTTAGAAACTGTTAGCATGTGTTAGCAAATAAGGCATATCTTTTAATTAAAAATTAGAAAAAATCATATAAAAAATTATTAGTAGGTACTATGAAAAAAATAAGATAAGGTCATATAAAAAAATATTAGTAAGAACATATGTGAGAGAAAAGGCTATAATAGAGATAAGTTAGAGAAATGATATTTATGAGACTAATAATAAACATGAAAAAGAAGCATATAACAAATGAAATTATAGGGACATTCGAAATAAGTTATTTTAACAGGGCCAAACCGACAAAACAATGAGGAAGCAGAAGAAAAAAAGGAAAGCCAAAAAAAAAACCTAGAGACGAAACGTCTCATCACACGCACTCAGTGACGAAACGTTGGTTCCTTAATAGAACAAAACACGTTTGGTTCATGAATCAGAATCATGTGATTAAAATCACTTTCGATTTACGTGTATTTTTTATGAGAGAAAACACTGTAGTGAACCATGAATCATGATTCAAATCATGGTTTGAATTCTCTAACCAAACGTCCCCTTAAAAAGCGGCAAAATTCGAAAGAAGTTGTTTTATATGTATGAGAGAAAACACTGTAGTGACCATAAATCATGATTCAAATCATGGTTTGAATTCTCTAACCAAACGTCCCCTTAAAAAGCGGCAAAATTCGAAAGAAGTTGTTTTATATGTGTTGATAACGTGAGGAATTTCTGCAGTTGGGGCTCCATTACACTCGACGGTGGATGGATGATAAGAATGCAGTCTCAACCTTCCAATTAAAATTGCATGGCACTGAAATAATTAGGTCTAGTTATATGGGTTCGTTTAGTTCGTTGATTCAAGTTTTTAATTTGAGTTGAGATGTGATTTTATATGAGAGCTTTTTACTGTAATAAAAAAGTTAAATGTGACTATTTTTTATAGCCTTTTACTGTAGTAAAATTTAATTTTAAACTCGAATCGGTGAAATAAACGGGACCTAAAATAATTTTAGATTCATGCTAATTACTTCCAAATTAACACCTTGGTGGGAAAATAAGATCCTTTAATATGGGTATTTCAAAAAGTCCTCATTAACACCCGTATAATAGACTAAACACGGGTTCATAACAACTTTTTTTTTAATAAGATGTTTAGGTTATGAATTTAGAATCATGATTCATAATTATTCTCGGTTTACGTGTATTTTTTATGAGAAAAAATACTGTAATAAATCACAAACTATGATTTGAATCATGACATGAATCCACCAACTAAACGCATGATTCAGAGGCACAATCCGGTTGATGTCGTTTTTATCTAACATTTCTCCAAAGTTTTAACTCAAAATATGAATTCATTAAATATTAGTGTAATGACCCGCCCTGCGTGGATGTTACTTAACTCAGACTATTTTTTTACCATACCTGATACTTGTCTTAACATTTGTATAAACTAAGGTGGTTCATCATACAACCTCGGTCATAAAAAATACATAACTTAATTAAAGTGCTAATATTAATTCAGTAATAACTATACTTTCACTACACATACAATTTTTAAACTTTATTCGCTATACAAACCAAAAAATATAACCACAGATATAAAACCATATTTTTTAAATCCATATAGTTTAAACGAAAAGGTTCAAAGCACACTAATTTAAATATGCAAACCAAACGAGACCTTAATGTATTATAAAAAATGAGTTCGTATAAGGTAAATTTAAGGAGATTTAATGAAATGGTCAGTTTAAACTGGTTTATACAACTAACAAAATCTGTGAAACAAAAATTCGTGATCATAATCCATATATCAAACAACTCCCCGTTTATAACAAACTTATTGTGAAACGACCTCTTTAAATTGAAGGTGGTTGTTGTTAAGAAAAATAAAATAAAATCTAAATTATCAAATTTAAAAAGTTGAGAGGCATCCATAAAAAAAAAGGAAAAGATAATTGTATCGTAAAAAATGAGTTCATATGAGGTAAAATTGAGGGGATTTAATGAAATGATCAGCTTGAACTGGTTTATACAACCAACGCAATATAACTTAAGTTACTCAAAATAACTTACCAAACAAAAATTCGTGATCATAACCCATATATCAAACAACTCCCCATCTATAACAAATTTATCGTGAAATGAATTCTTTAAGGTGAAGATGTTCGTTGTTAAGAAAAAAATAAATAAAAACCAAATTATTAAATTTGAAAAGTTGAGGGGCATCCATAAAAAAAAGGAAAAGATAATTGTATTGTAAAAAATGAGTTCGTATAAGGTAAATTTAAGGGGATTTAATGAAATAGTCAACTTGAACTGGTTTATACAACCAACGCAATCTAACTCAAGTTATTCAAAATAACTTACTAGAGGAAACTTCGATAAATTTGTCAATTTGTCAAATTTATCGTAAAATGACCTCTTTAAGTTGAAGGTGTTCATTATTAAGTAAAAAAATAAAAACTAAATAATTAAATTTGAAAAGTTGAGGGGCATACATAAAAAAAAAAAAAAAGGAAAGATAAGTGATTTGATCTTTCAAGTCGAAGTCGTACAAGGAGGAGAGAGAGAGAGAAAAAAAATTAAAAGAAATATCAAATAATGCAGGCGCTACTTCGAAGAAACTTCCACCTATGGTGTTTATCTCAACGCCGGCGAGCCGACGCCATTTCTTCTCTCTTCCTCTACTTCCTCTAGAGAGAGAAAGAGACGAAGATCAAACAGAAGACGAAACGTACTCAATTACCGACCCATTCGAGCTTCTTCTTCTGGGGATTCAAACTGGGCGGAACCCACTCTCTCTCTCTCTCTCTCTCTCTCTGATGCTTGCTTAACTTTGGGCAACACAAACCGGGCTCTTTAGCTCCTCTCTGACTCTGTCTCACTCGCTGGATCAAATCCGAATCCGAATCCATTTATCAGTTTATCTCTCTGCTCTCCAAACTTTGGATTCGACCTGATCTGTGAAAATTGTTGCCGATCGTTGGGCATTATTTCCCTTTTGTTTGAAAAAAAGGTATTACTTTGTCTTTCCTTAACTCTTAGATTTCCTTTTCCTTTTTCTGCCTTTTTTTTTTTGGTTAGTGTTACCATTTATAAATATGTCAAACCAAATATCACCAAGTAATTAACGTCCTTCACAAAAGAGTCTTTTTTTTCAGTGGAATATTCGTTTGTGAGATGATCTTTAACTCAGAATTCCATTTTTTTTTATAATAATTTATAGATAGAGTTGGTCCCGCTACAGGGTAATTTAATATCGAGCGTTTTTACTTTAATTTTTTTTCCCTTTTTGAAATTGAATGTTAATGGACACCTACTTTCTAGCTAAAAGTCTAGAAACTGTATATGGGATAATATTTATAGATTCTCAGATAAAAGCGGTAAACAGTTATAATTTGTTTCCTTGGGTCAAAAAGCATGTCCGATTACCATTTAGTTGACCAAAAAAAAAAAAAAAAGTATACCATTTTTGCATTTCTGTAAAAATTTCTTTGTTTTAGTAGTACTATTTATTTTTTTTGGATTTTTTTAAGTGTTTAGTTGAGCAATTATAGAGTGAAGTGACATATTGGGTTTAGTTCGTATGAATTATAAACTGCGAAAATCGTTCCATTACTCAGACTGAAATCTTTACCATTTTGGAAGCCAACCTTGTAGAACTGTGTTTTTTACAGCCTTTATGTTGAGAAATGAACAATTAGTGTTTCAAATTTATTTTCTGAAATGCTAGTAGAAAATAATGGAAAATGCTTTTTTTGATCTCAGTTCAATTGGGTAAGAGTAAGTCTATAAAATGGTGAAAATTTTCATGGTCATTTCTAACCGTTGGTGACGGCATGTCCAAGAATTCAAGCGTACCAAACTGACCAAAAATGGATTGACATTTTTGGTTTGGTTCATGGTTTTCCCTTTCAAACCGATTGTGAACAGTACATCCCTTGTCCTACTCCTTTGCTTATGCAACCTTTTCCAAATATAATGAAAAAATTCTTTTCCTCAAACAAGGGAAAAGGTTCTTTTTTACTCTGAATAATGCTAAGGACACTAACTCCCATCTCAACTCTTGTATCGACTATTGAGTTGTCATTCTTTTATTGATAGGTATATCATGGTTTTCCCTTTCAAACCGATTGTGAACAGTACATACCTTGTCCTACTCCTTTGCTTATGAAACCTTTTCCAAATATAATGAAAAAATTCTTTTCCTCAAACAAGGGAAAAGGTTCTTTTTTACTCTGAATAATGCTAAGGACACTAACTCCAATCTCAACTCTTGTATCTACTCTTGAGTTGTCATTCTTTTATTGGTAGGTATCTCTTATCATTAATTTAATTAATGTGTCAATCTTTTAAATACCTACCCATAAGAGAATGACAACTCATGAGTTCATACAAGAGTTGGGATTAGAGTCAATGTCCTGCATATTCCTTTTACTCCATCGAAACTTCCTGGTTGAGTAATGCACCAAAGACATAAATATATTAGCCTCGTTTTTTGTCTTTTGCTTTAAAGAGCTAAATGTTATGATAGAAAAGTATGTTTCTCTTCTACCAAAACAGGAGATGAAATACAAGATGTCTTGTATGTATTTGCACTTAAATTGGTTGCTAATCTGCCCTTGCAGATGGCTGCAATTGAGGAGAAGACAGACCTTGAATCTGATGAGGAGATCCCTTTTAGCTCATCACTGGGCAAAAGGAAAGTGCATTCCTTGGATTTTGAGATGGCTCATATGCATCCACATCCGGATGCCTCGAAGTCACAGATTCTTAACCTCATGTGGAAAAGTCCTCTCAGGAGTATCTATATTGTCTTAATTAAAGCAAAGATCAACATATTGTTGCCATTTGGTCCGTTGGCAATATTGCTACATTATGTGACTGGAAAGCATGTAAGAAGCATATAAACTTCTCAATTTTATGAGAATTAGCTTGTAAAGCGGTTAAAAAGAACCATATCAGAAAAAAGATTTTGGTTAGGATGTGGTGTTCGGTGCAAAACTGTTTCTCTTCAATTATTTTGCATTTTGTTTTTGGATGTGAACCTTGTGGCATACTCTATAATTGTAAATATATATATGTATATATGAGTTATCTTAAAGGAATGTTTACTTTTAGCTTCCACAATGTAAATTAAATTCCTTTATTGTTTGTAATTTGTTGACCGTTTCCTTTTCTATGTTAGGGCTGGGTCTTCTTCCTCAGCTTAGTGGGCATCGCACCTCTGGCAGAGCGTCTCGGATATGCAACAGAGTAAGTAATGGCTCATTCCTCATCTAATTTGAGAGATATTTTAAACTTAATTTAGATGCTAATGTCCTGTTTGTTTCAACAACTCAAACTGTTGTTTAGGATTCAAACCTTTATTCAGGATTCAAATTGGTGTTTGGGAGAGGAAAATTAAAGGAGAATTCAAACCATTAACAATGGTTCAAACCCTTTGATTTTTAGAATTCACCCCTCCCCCTAAATTCTAACAATCCGAATTGTTGTCAACAGTTTCAGATTCTACTTTTTCTCTCTCTTCAATTTCAATCTTATTAATGTTATAACTTCTTCGTTTTAATTCCAATTGAGATGTTTTTTTTTAATGTGTTCATAATGAAGAGATGAACAAATCCCCACCCATATTGCATATTTTTTAATGTAATTTACAGTGAGATTTTATAAGATTTGTTACAAAACTCTAATAACAGATTTCAACACTTTATCCAAACACAGTTTGGATTTTATTTCCAATTCAAATTACAATTTATTTGCATATACAAACACCGGTTTGAATCACAATTAAAATCATCACAATTCAGATTTTACAGTTGTAACTAAACAGGTTCATATCCTAAGATTTTTGCTTTTTATTGCATCGCAGGCAACTTGCTTTCTACACAGGACCAACAGGTGAGTTGCGCTTACTATGTTGTTTAATGTCAAATGATAAGAAAATCTAGAAATCAGGTTCAAGTTGGATCGATATGCATGAAATAAACTTAGGGTTAGAGGGAATTATCAAGACAAGAAAATTGATAGGGATATGACTGCAGTAATTCTGAAAATAGACATCAAATACACAAATAATTGAAAGGAGGGGCTGATTATATGTTAATTAGAGAACACAGACAAAATAGAAGTGAAATTATGGTAAATTAGTGGGAGAAAAGCTGACGACAAAGGACAATCGTTTGCTCTAGCAACCCCAATAATATTACTATGTAGTGCTCAGTGAATATTGCTCAAAAACGCCTAAGTTTATTGGTCAAGTGGTGTCTTGTAAGTTTGGGCTAGACTTTCAGTCATCTTATTATCATCTTTGTTGTGTCCAACTCCAAAAGTTCATAGAAATCTCTCATTCTGGATGATCTGTCTGTGTTCATCCATTTTACCATCCAGAGAAATCCCAATACTTAACCAATATTGAATATAGGATACTTTATCTCATATATTACATGTTTCTATTCTTTTTTATAAAGTGGACTGTCTCTTATGTGATGTGCAGTTGGAGGTCTTCTGAATGCTACATTTGGCAATGCAACGGAAATGATAATATCAATTTATGCGTTGAAGAATGGAATGATAAGGGTTGTTCAGCAATCTTTACTTGGCTCCATCTTGTCAAACATGCTCTTAGTGCTTGGATGTGCCTTCTTTTGTGGTGGGATTGTTCACTATGATAAAGTTCAGGTTTTCAATAAGGTAGTGGATCTTCATGATTGATTAGAATATCTTCTTAAAAAGTGTTGTGCAGTGTATTCTTTTGTATTCCTGTTATTATGAACTTTGTTCTAAGTGGGGTAAAATTGCAACAGGCAGCTGCTATAGTGAATTCTGGATTGCTTTTGATGGCTGTAATGGGGATAATGTTTCCTGCTGTGCTTCATTTCACGCATTCAGAGGTTCATTTTGGGAAGTCGGAGTTGGCTCTTTCAAGATTTAGCAGTTGTATAATGCTAGTGGCATATTCAAGCTACCTCTTCTTTCAACTTAAAAGTCAACATAATTCTTACAGTCCTGTCGATGGGGTGAGTTGCTTAGTCTTTTTGCAATATGAAACGGCTTTTGTTTTTCTCCATTTCAATATCACACATATTAGGTGGATTCTGCTGTATTTTTTTTTAAGGTTTTTAAATAATTTTCGTAGAACGATAAATTTCCGTGTCTATCTCAAGTCCAAACCGATTATACTTGCATCTGTAGGTACTCCAATTTTTTCATTTTTTTTTTTAATGTTTAAATTCAAATTTGTTGAGTTTACCTGATTATGAAATTTTATGTTCCTTTTGTGTTAGTTTTATTGGATGCGGGATAACATAACCTAATATTTCTACTTGTTCTATGAAGGAAATGGAAATATTTGAATTTACATATTTTGGCTTTAGGCTATTTTGTTCCTTTGAAAATGTCTTCTGCAATGGTTGCAGGAAGAAGAAAATCATGAAAATTCTGAGGAAGAAGAGGCTCCTGAGTTAACTCTGTGGGAAGCAATTGGCTGGCTCGCTATATTGACTGTATGGGTGTCCATTTTGTCTGGATACCTCGTTAATGCCATCCAGGTAAAATGGGCAAAATGCATATTTACTGGCTTTGAATTTAAGGGTTAAAAACTATAGTATTATGTGATCAGTTGATTAATTGTATATATGTTTATGCAAAAATAACTGGCAGTGGGAAAATAAATTCTACTTCTTGTTTTAGCCAATGTTTATTATTTTATGGATGAAATGGAAAGATGCAACTATTAACTTGTAAGGAAAGTTTGAGGAGATGGAGTTTCAATTGTGGTTGTCATCTTCCCTGGGTTTTCTTGATTGACATTTATTTTCTTCATCCATTCAAACCGAAAGCAGTTTTAAGTTAATGTCCTTTTTTTTTTCCCTTAACGAGTTTACTTGTTTTTGTTTTCATGTTTTATGACCTCTCTGTTTTGAACTTCGCTCCCTGATTCTGGTTGTATAGTTTTTTTCAGTTTGTTATTAAAAAAGAAAAAGTGGATGTGTTTATGATTCTTTTCAGGGAGCATCCGACTCGATGAACATGCCAGTGGCTTTCATTAGTGTGATCCTGCTTCCTATTGTAGGAAATGCTGCAGAGCATGCAAGTGCAATAATGTTTGCCATGAAGGATAAGCTTGTAAGTGATTTAAAAATTTACGCATATTATATTATTTGGTTTTCGTGATTGATGAATTTAATTTATCTACAGGACATCACTATTGGAGTTGCTATTGGATCATCTACTCAAATATCTATGTTTGTGGTAAGGAGTTGATTCATCATCTGAATTAAATTTAATAGCTGACTGTTGAAATTTAGTGAAATATTGTGGAACACTGCAATTTTTGGGTTGGCCATCCAAATTTTGGAAAGGATCCAGATTATTTCTCAAGATTGTTCTGATGATGAGTTTGTGGTTTTCGTGAGCATTTCTTCTTTTTCTGGGCTTCATTTGGAAGAATATAGTGTCTTCTAGTCCTTAACTTTCTTGGAATTAGCCAATTTGATGCAGGCTTGTTCTTTGATCCTTTTTTCAATTTTGGTTTACTTGGATGAGTCCTTGACCTCCTTATTTCTTTTGTATTATACTCTTTTTTGTACTTCTGTTTCGAATAGTGCCCCTACATTTTTACTTTATTATTAAGGATGGATGCCTCATGCCTTTTGTTTTTTCTTCACTGCATTGCAGATCCCCTTCTGCGTAGTTGTTGGGTGGATCATGGGAATACAGATGGATTTGAATTTTCAACTTTTTGAGACTGCTACACTCTTTATTACTGTGCTAGTTGTGGCCTTTATGTTACAGGTGGGTTTGCTAATTATTTCTTATATAATTTTTGAATGGTGCTTTGAGCTATCATTGATTTTCCATGTGTTGTTGCATTTTATAATATATTTTTCGTATCTTCTTTTTTTCATATGTTTTTGCTTTTTGCATCATATGACCCTGAAGTTGTCCTGCATATTGCACGGTTGTTTCGAGTTAGCATGTGGTGCTACTTCAAGAAATTGTATTGAGCTTTTATCCATTTTTTCAATGTATACAATGATGCTATTAAGACGAGTTGCATAACCCATGAGAAATGCAATAAAAACTTGTTAGAATCTAAATGTGGCAACATTTCACATACTAATTTTGGGGACATAAGACTGCTTTTGTTACTTCTGAAAGTTGCGTAACTTGGATTGCACTAGTACTATTGTCAATTATCATGAATAATTCATTATTTATAGTTGTCCAAGGATTATAGGCTATAACAGCTTCAGTGATTTCTATGGCGACTTGGCAACAGATAGGAAGGGTCTGTGCAATTACACTACATTACTGATCTGAGATGTCTTAACTGTTGCCCTGGAAATTCGATGTAACAATTCACAAAAGCGTATTAGGTTTAAGGCATGTTAGACCTTTGTTGCTTGCATATGATATTTGCTTTATCCTCATTCGGAGAAACTATCTCAGTAGATAGTATACTATGGTTTCTATTTCCTTGTATTTTAGTTTTATTTTTTATTTGTTTTAATGAAACTAGTTGCCTTGTTTGCTCTCTTCACCACTGCAAATGCATGGCTAAGAAGTCTGCAGCTGAATAAGCTTCAGGTTTATGCTAGAGTTTTTATTTTTTATTTATTTCTATAAGTTTCGTTGTGGAAATCCATGCTCCGGGGTCTGGGTTGAATAGAGCTTACCTCATATTAGGTTTGGGTAAGATTATCCAAGGTGAATGCTGGATGAAATTTAATGAAACACATTATTAAGAAGATTTATTGTATTACATTTCTCTCATTGTAAGGTTACGGAAGTTGATTTGTAGATATACTGGATGATTCTTATCGATTCCTTGTGAACTTCCCAAAGTTGGTTTCTAATGGTGTTTTCTTTGCTGTGTTTTCATTTTTGTAGGAAGGGACATCAAATTATTTTAAGGGCTTGATGCTTATTCTGTGCTATCTCATAGTTGCAGCCAGTTTTTTCGTACACGTTGACCCTTCAAATGGTGAGAACAAAAGAAAAAAAATTGTTTGCGATTGTCTTTCTTTTTATCTATATATGTCGTAAATTGCTTATGTCTTGACAGGAAAAAGATGTGGGGAGACATATCTCTTCCATTTTTTTTTTCCGCCACCTGTTTTTTCTTCTACATGTATATGTGTTTTTGCTTATATGCTTTTTGCCTTTTTTCTGAGATTGAAGATGAGGGGAAAAATGGGGTAGAGCCACTAAGGATATAATGATAATGATTTCCTTGCATCAAGTCACAAATTTCACAATTGAAAATTGGAATCTTCCTCCTAAGAGAATTTCAGATAATTGCAATTACTTTGCACAGAGATGAGAGATGATTTTCCTTTCCCATGACCTATAAGTAGTAGAAGCCTAAAAGGATATCTACACTAAGAGGTGATTAACAGAATTCTTTGACGATATGGAGTATTGAATGGTTTTTAACAGAATGAGCATTACTAGAATTTGCCACTCCTATCTCATACTATGTTCTGAATAATCAGAATATTCCTACTGCTTTGCAGATAAATATAATCCCCCAGATTTGAAAACTCAAACAATTGACTATCGAGTTACTAAATATTTTTACCCTTTTGTTTTTCTTTCTATTTGGAATTATTTTTTTTCACACTTTTTTGTGTCAAATAAAACATCGTTTTACCATTTGCATTGGAGATGGTTTTATCTAGGACTGACAATCCGGGTAGCGATTCGACGGCACGACTCGAAACCCGCACGAAGTTAGCGGGTTTGGGTTTACTATAAATGAGTTTGGGTTATAATCGGGTTGACACGATTAATACGCTTAATAAATGAGTTGGGTTAGGATTGACCTCTTAACACGAAGTGACACAAATTGGCACAATTAACTATATGTATCATATGTAATCTAATGATATGTGATATGATATGAAAGTTTATATAACATATTAACTACAAATAATGTGAATTTTAATATTTATAGGTATAATTAATTTATTTTTATTAAAAGAAAAGATAAATTGACTAATAAACATGTTAAACTTGTCTTGACCGTGTTAATAAACATGTCGTGTTTGGGTTGATGCTCTCTGACACGATTAATAAGCGGGTTGACACGAACATGATCCACTAACACGAATTGTCACCTTTAGTTTTATGCCGGAGTCAGATTTTTCTCAATCACCTTCTAGTTAGTTGGGAAAGGGGCTGAAAACGGCCCAACCCGACCTTTTGTGCACCTCTAAGCTGGAACCACTCTATTCAAAGAAATATCAAGCCTTTACTATGTGCTTTCTGAACAGTGCCTCATATAATTTTGTTCACTTATGTTTTAAGAGAAATGTCAATACTTCTTTTCCCAGTTTATTTGTTTTGTTGAATTCCTTAGTTTGAGATTGACTGGCTTGTATTCTATTTTTCGGTGTTGGTTTTGATTCAGATGACAATTAAAACGACAAACGGTGAGGTGGCCTTGCGTGCGGGAAATATACATAAATCTCCACTGCAAAAAGGTAGCAGGGAAGGTACTTGAAAGCTGTTTTGACAAATTTTCCATGCCTGGATTTTTATTTGAATATCCTTTTTTTGGAAAATTCAGATGATCTCCCAGCCTCTTGTGGCTGGAAAAGTTTTTTTCATTGTATAATAGAGTTTGACTGTATTATACATCAGAAAAAATAATCTCTAATCTGTTCAGTTTTGTTTTTTCTTTTCTTTTCTTTTCTTTTTGCCTTTTATTGTTTTTCTTTTTTGTGGAATTATCATTCTTTGATCCCATAAAATGGCAGTCAAAATCCCAAGAATTGTTATTACATTATCATCCTTATGCTGCTGAGGTGTGTCCGTTCCTCTCCTAGATTTCATTTCATTTTCTCCCTCCCTTGCACAGAAAAATTATTTAAGTAGATTGAGTTAAGTCATATTATTACAGTATTTTCTATTATAAAAATTTAAATTTAATTTGTTTACTACAGTATTTTTCTCTTACGTATTCAATCAATGATTGAGTGTAACAAAAGGGTTATATTTTAATGAGCTCATACCAATTTGATGTAATCTTTTTTTTTTCTTTTGAGTTAAAAAATCCGTTAACCCCATAGAGAAATTAAATATGTAAATAAAAATGGTAAAGAAATAAAAAAAAAACATTAATAAAACAAAAAAGCAAAAAAAAAAATAATAATACTGCCCAAAAATCACTGCTTTCCTCTGCTGGAGGTTCATTGTTGCCCCTATCGCCCCAATACTCGGCTCATATGCATTATGCGTACATTATACGCTAAATTATATGTTGCCAATGTAGGAAGGAAATTTTTCTTGTCAAAAGATTTAGAGCCGGTTTAGTTTGATTATTTAAATTTTTAATTCGAGTTAAAATGTGATTTTATATGAGAATTTTTTACTGTAATAAAAAAAAGATGTGATTATTTTTAAAAATTTTTAATTATATCAAAATTTAAATTTTAAACTTAAATTGATGAAATGAACAAAATTTTTAAAAAAATCTTTTGGCCAAAAAAATTAGAACTGAAAAGACATACGGAGAGAAGGCAGATGCAAAGTGCACGTGACTCTAAAAAATAGAGAAATACTAACACTTTCTTTATTATTTTTTACATTTATTTTTTAACACGTAGATTTTATTATCTCATTTTTATTTAAATAATAATGTATCGTATTAATATGATATACTTGTCAAATAATAAATGAGAGTGATAAAAAGAATTATACTGACATTTCTGTAAAGAAAAATATAAAGCAGCGAATTGTAACCAAACGCGTTGTCGTTATCTCGTGGCGCTTCATGAGCCAAGCGCCAACGCGGTTGGTGACAATCAAATACAGAAAAAGGTGCAAATGAAAAAGAGAAAGGTCCAGAGACTCCAAATGTGATGACAAACGGACTTTGGAAAAATTTTGCAGGATTGAAAACTGTCCTCTTCTTTCTAGTCCCAAAATACCTTCTTTTTTCATCATTATAAAAAAAATAAATAAAAAGTAATATTAGACGTGAATCATGATTGACATGATTTTTTAAGCACGTTTCCTTTGTTTCCTTGTTTCTGTTTCTTTTTTTCTTTTCCTAACATTACAAAATACATTTCTTTTTTAAAGTACATACCTTGTTGTTTTAATAATATTAAAAAATAATATTTTATAACAAAATAAAGGTATTATTAAAATGATATCTTGTAGCTTATAAAAATGATGCTAACTTGGTGAATCTTAAATTTATTAAGTATATATAAGATTTACTATTAAAATTTGTATGGTTCTTTTTCAAGTGATTCTAACTTAGAAAATATTAAATTTACCATGTATATCTAAAATTTATCATGAGTATTTGTACAGAAATGTGATGCTAATTTGGTAAATTTAAGATTTACCAAGTATACCTAAAATTACCATTAGAAATTGTATTACTCTTTTTTAAGTGATTCTAACTTGATAAATCCTAGATATATATATATTTACTGTAGAAAGAGAAAAATAACAATAAAATAATATAATTAGAAAAATGAAAAATCGAAAACATGAAATGGTCTATTAATTTCTAGACATGGGTAAATTAGCCATTTGCTTTTATAAGTTTTAAATATAGATTTATTTTTGCTCAAAAAAATATATGCCTATTTTTTACAATTTTTCGTTAATTAATTGAAAGGAGAAATGAGATAAATATTCTTTAATATGCATAAATTTAAATTTTTATCTCTTATTCTTAATTAATATATTATTTTATTAAATAACTATGTTAATTAAAATAATATTAATTAAAAATAAAAAGTAAAAATCTAATCTTAAGCGGTAACTTCAACCATTTTCTCGCATTGAAATAGAAAGACTAGTACGTGGGATTTAAAGTTTAAACAACATTAAAAATAAAAAATAAAACAAACAAACTTGCAGGCACTGAACATTATGGAAGCACATCCAAGTACTTTCTTTGAATTCCGGAGCAATAATAATAATAATAATAATAATAATAATAAAAAGGATGATAGGAAAAGGGGGAAAAAAAAAGTAAAAAAAAAAAACACACACACACACACGGAACTCGGAACAATAAAAATCTTTATCTAAATAAAATATCGTCTGTTCCATAAAACAAAAAAAAAAATATATTGTCTTTTCTAAAATTTTATAATTATTTTTATAAATCGTGAGAAAGAAAAAGGAAAAAGACAGAGTGAAAGGGAAGGTGGGCGATAACAGATAAAAATGAGTTATGCTGCGTTGCTATATATTATCTCATGGATCATGGCGGATATTACAAGGCTAAGGCCTATCCAACTCCAACCATTCTTCACCTTCAACTCCCAGTCTTTACATTCTCCTTTATTTCTTTGTTTTTCCATCTTCTTTAACATCAAAATCATGGGTTTTCTCTAATTTCTTCTTTCTCGTTGAAATTTTTGCTCTTTGGAATCTGCCAATAGAAAGAAGATGGCTGTGGCTATGGCTATGGCTTCTTTGAGTTTTGGAGTTCACATTAATTCTAGTCCTATTTTTAGCAACTTTATTGTTCCCTTCTCAACTGGGTGTGTGGTGAAGAACTCCTTTGGTCTTGGTACTAAAAGCTTCTACATTTTTCCAAAGGAAAGGTATGCAAAATTGAGATTGTGGGCTACTTTTTATTTTTTATTTTTATTTTTTTTTATTTTTATTTTTATTTTTTTATTCTTTGCTCCCTTGTAATCTGTTATAGAGGAAAAAAAGATTCTTTTTGCTTTTTCTTGTTCTTTTCTTTCTGAGTTTTCTTTTAGTTTTCTTTCTGGGTTTTCTTTTACGGAAGGATTATATTTAATTTGTTTAGTTACTTCTCAAAATTCTATTGCTTTGCGCAGGAACATAAATAAATAATGTGCTATTGTTTCAAGTTTGGGCACTTGTTGGATCTCTCTACTTGTTCTCCGTTCAAATTACTGCCACATTTTTGTTTAAATGTGATTGGTGTTACTGCATCAAAGATCTAAACTTGAGCCCTTTTGAAAATTTTAAAATTTTTTTAATGTGCTTCATTCATTATTATTATTTTTTTAAATATGTGTAATGATAATTTATGGTAATTTGTATATATGGCTTATGTCTATGTGATTATAATTGTGATGGCTATTGATGCATAAATTTTTAATTTCACATTAGAGATAGTCCTCAATTGTATCCATAAAAAAACAAATAAACTAATAGATAAATGAAGATAAAAGGAAGGCTTTAATCCTTCTAAGTATTTGGAAGATGAGACTAAACTACATTTAGCTCTGTGGTGAAAATGGTTTAACTAGAAAAAAGTTACAGTGAGCTGATATATGTTCGGTCATGGCCATCGAAAACATTCAAGCTCTGTTACTAGGCCTTGGCAGTTGCATTGGAAGTGAAAAGGGAAAATGAAAGCTAGGTGATTGGTCATAATTTCGAAAACTACATGCTTGTTTGACCGCTTTATGTTTAAATCACTGGCCTTATCTGAATTCCATGTCCCATCATTGCTGTTCTTTGCGGCTTAAGTTTTTGCTGTATTTGACAGACTTTTGGCTTCAGTAACAACATTCATTCCGCGAGCATCATCGTCCACAGCTTTGGAGGTTGTCAATTTTGATTTTATGTCCTTAGCTTATGTTGCATTACCTTTCCATGATTGCGCTAGTCGTCAACTTTGATTCATCCTCTTTATGACTGTTGGCTTCTCGATGATTAAAACAGGATGAAAGTAATAGTGAGACCGACACAGTTCCAATCCCTATAGTTATTATTGATCAAGACTCTGATCCAGATGCAACTGTAGTGGAGATAACTTTTGGCGATCGTCTTGGAGCACTTCTCGATACAGTATGAAGCCAATTACCACCCCTATTTTTTTCGTTATTAGTTCTTTTGTTCCATAATTTATAGTGAAAATTTGATCTTATGGAATTTGATTTCTTTCTTTCTTTCTTTATTTTTTTTTTTTTGCGTGAATCTTTTTCTGTCATAATAGTAGTATAATGTAGAGTAAACTATCTGTAAACCGGGTGCAGATGAACGCACTCAAAAACCTAGGCCTTAATGTTGTCAAGGCAAATGTCTATCTGGACTCCTCAGGGAAGCACAACAAGTTTGCGATCACTAAATCGTGAGTGTGACACTTTATTTGTGTGTCAACTTTTGTTTTTAGTCTTATCGTAATGTTGATGCTTGCTGTGCAATTGTGCCAATGGTATTTATTATTCTCGTTCCTTTTCAGCTTCATTTTTTTTTCTCTTATTTAATGTCTGTTACAGTGATTAAATGTGTTTGGCTCTGTAATCAGTGTTATGAATTTGATGTCATTACTACATATAAGTTAAACGCAACGCTGTTTTGACATCTGCTTTACGTAAATTCTTAAATTTTAGAAATCAATTTAATCTTTTTGAAAACAGATCTTCTGTTTGCTTGGACAGTAATATCTATTTTTTTATTTTTTATTTTCACAAATACAATTTTTTATATGTTTGCCTTAAAAGCCAACTTACCTACATCTGCTTCTAGTTGAACTATAAAGTTGTCTGCCTTCAACTCTAGGGGCTATCTAAACATTATACTGATTATCATAGATAATTCGAGGGAAAATGGCTACAAAGCTACCTTAATGATTTTGCCAGAGATTGTTTTAATTAATTTTTTATACTGGTTCTTGAAGTATCGGTTCTTGGATTTGATTGACATGGTGATGATGCTTGTTTGCAGCGATACTGGAAGAAAAGTAGAAGATCCAGAGTTACTCGAGGCAATTCGTTTGACAATTATAAACAATCTAATTGAGTACCACCCGGTATTTGATTTCAACTTCGTTGTTATTTAGATAATTTTCGATTTAGAACTTCCACTGGAGATCTCTTTTACAAGCTTTCTGATGGGATTGAGTTGGTGAACCAGGAATCCAGTTCCCAGTTAGCATTGGGAACAGCTTTTGGGGTTTTGCCGCCTAAACAACAGGTTCATGGACTTAATTTTAGTTTTCCAGTTTTACACATTTAAACCTACTTGAATAATTCTATTGAATTCTCCCAAGGTTTTTAGTAGTTTACTTAATTGACAAGGAGTGATGTTATTGTGATGTTTTCATGTGTACAAGTTCAAGTAAGTCGTTGTTATGTCTAGTAGCGATGTAACGTTATTAAACAGTCCTCTACCTTACAGTTTGCTGATGCATGAGCACCAATAATTACACATGAGAGAGAAATACTCCATGTGATTCTTTTCACATTCTGAATGGTAATAAAGTAGCTTCCCATTTTAAGACTCAAAGCATAGAAGATTTTCTGATATTGTACCATTTTACATATGATTTTTGCTGGACTAACAAGAGAAATTTGGGGACCCTAGCAGATTTAATTTAGAATAGTTCAAATGGATTTGTTTCCATATCTTAACTTTTGGTCTTACTTGATGATGTTGCTTCATAAAAAAATTTATGGACCTAAGTTCAATAACTGGAGGAGCATTATGTTAAAGAACTCCATCCTCCATTCTAATTTATTATGTTGTAATTGCACAGATTGATGTGGACATAGCAACTCACATAAGCATCCGTGATGATGGCCCTGACCGAAGGTAATGCCCGCGCAAGTTTTCCCCTTGAAGTAACGAAGTTATAGGCTTTTGCGACCCAGAAACCGTTGCTTTAACAATTATGGTTGAGGTTTTATCCTGAGAATAGACAGTAACAGCAGTGAATGAATAGCATCTTCCAATGAGAATCTCAAAAGTAAATAATGCGTCCTTCACTTTGTATGTTTCTCCATTTAAAATATTATCGTCTTTTTTGCAGCTTGCTTTATGTGGAGACAGCTGATCGTCCCGGATTACTGGTAGACCTTGTGAAGACAATAACTGACATTAATGTTGCTGTGGAATCAGGAGAATTTGACACTGAGGTTCTACCTTTCCTACGCTGCCTGTATTTTGTCACCCGCCCTCTGTTTATTAATTTTCCTCATTGTTTGACAATACAGGGATTGTTGGCTAAGGCCAAATTTCACGTTAGCTACAAGGGAAAGGCCTTAATCAAGCCCCTCCAGCAGGTAAAATTTGTCTGCTCACGGTTGATTTCCCGCTGCTATTAGCTTCTAAGAATACAAACGGTTACAAGTTTCGAACTTGAATTTTTACTTATTTAATCCGTTATATATTTTCTCCCCACCTTAATAAAGCACCTGAGTACTTGGGTTCTCTGGTAACTATAAAGTGTATCATGCCTGAATCTAATCAGAACTTAATATTTGAACAAGTTTTTGAAACACAATCCTAAGGGTTTTCTTATTGATGATAGTGACGATATTGGTGGTAGTGACAATATCGAACTAATGGATCTTGAAGGATTCCCAAGAACAAGAAATCCTTAGATTTCTTCTAGAAGCATATTATTTTTCGCCTGCTTCTCACGCTCTGTGAATAGCCCAAATCTTCGGTTTATGCTCATGTTTGATGTCCGCAGTTCAGTGTTCGCTACTTCGAAAAGGCTATTTATGTGTTGAACACTGATGTAAAATTTGTACCATTTGTGGCAGGTTGTTGCTAACAGCTTGAGATACTTTCTAAGGCGGCCCTCGACCGAGGAGGCAAGTTTCTGAGTCATGCACACAACATTCGTTAAAAAGATAAACCGAAGAAAATCCTAGAGCATTTCTGAATTTGAAAGACCTTGGCCAAAGAGCTGACATAATCAGTGGCATGGAACTCAAGTTTCTTTCAAATTTCAATAGCAGTGTAAAATAAATTATTCATACTGTTGTGTAAGATTTGAGTAACAGTCTATCGCTCGGAAACGAAAGTCCAGTAATATATGAACAGGAAAGTAGTTATTTATGCAGTTGCTTGATAATCTACACGCATACAAATCCTATAAAAATGGATTTCCTTGGAATATGTTGAAGACATGTTTGAATCCATCCCCTATGTGCAAGATGGTTTACATGTTTGCGAATTGAAAAAAAAAAAAAAAAAAAAAAGTAGCAATACAAATCTCAATGCAAAGTTTTGAAGGACAATCTCCCCTTTTGAGTCTTAAAGACTGATTATTTCAATATCCAAACATAGATTAGCAGATTTTTTTTTCTTTTTCTATATGGGGAAAAGGTTAATATCAATGGCCAGGAAAAAAACAGAAGTTGAGACTGTTTTTAGGGGAAGTTTGAGACCAATTGAAACAAGTTAAAGTTTTTAGGGGAAGTTTGAGACCAATTGAAACAAGTTAATCAGTTAGAGCTTGTTTGGTAAGAGAGAAAAAAAAAAATTGAAAGATGGAGAGTAATGAGGGGATTAGTGGGATTTTGGACGCATGGATTTTTTTTTTTTTTTTTGGAAATGAAAATTTTCATTTGATAATTAACAAATTACATAAGACACAAATGGCCCTAAATACAAAGAAATTTGACCCTTAATCAATTATTGGATCCACAACCAAAATAACATAGGAGTGAATACAAGTACCGATACTCAAATAGGAAAAAACTCACTTGGCACATAAACTTCGAACTTAAATATTGCTCGTTAAACAGCACCAAAACAGTCGATGGACTAACCCAATCAATAAACGCATGATTTTTTAGTATGATAAAAAAACGGAGAAAATAGAACTCTCCTAGAAAGTAAAATTTTATACGCTACATACACTCTATAATCCTCCTAGATAAGATATGGACATATATATACTTTTATTGTCCATATCTTCATTTTATTTTGCGGTTTGTCCTTTTGCTGATGACCATGCTTGATAACAGTTATGGATGAAGCGTGCCTTTCTCTTTTTCCTCATTATTTTTTTCTTTTTGATTATAAGAGAAGAGATGAATCATGCATCTTTGGCAATCTAGAGAAACTACTTTCAAACAGACAATGACATAAGCTGAAACGGTCCCATAACTGATCTCCATTGGGAAGAGAGAAACGGATAACAATAATACTATATCCTCGACCTCTCCTTGTGCTAACTATATATACATACATACATATATACATACATACATATATATATCTTTGAACTGCAGAGGCTACACGTATTATACCAGTAAATATGGCATCAAACGTATTTGCGAGAGGAGTACACACCATGAACTCCATCTCCATGGTTTTCAAGTGAGTTCTCTCTCTCTCTCTCTCATCTCTCTCTGTTTTTAGTTCCACTAGAATGCTCAAAATTTGATTGCATTTTGTGAAAATTTCTAACGTTCTTAGTAATTTAATCTAATAAAATAACTAGTAAAACATTTTGAAAAGATTTTTTTTATCTTCTTAACCAGTACTCCTTTCACGTGCGAATGAACATTAAGTGAACATAATTTATGGATTCAGAACATGATTCAGAACCATTTTTAAGTGTGTTTTTTATGAAAGAAAACACTATAACAAACTACAAATTATGATTCGAATCATAACACGAATTCTCATACTAAACACTCCATTAAATTAAGGGCAGTGCCGTGGTACATACTTCATACTTCACTACCATATATATTCTGTAGGAGTTCACTAAAATAATTTCAACTTTCAGCAACTGATCCGACACCAAAAATTCCCATTTCTTGTGGAGATCAAATAACGATCATGTCCTTGTCCTGTAACTTTACTAGTACTACAATAATAATAATAATAAAAAGAACAAATAATAGCAATAATGATCACTCTGCCTCTCCATATGTCTCTTAATAAGTTTTATTATAAAAAAAGTGAGTGCATTAGCATTAAAATTTTGTAAAATTTGTAAAACTGATGTCTCGTTCAGTTTATTGATTCGCGTTTTTAATTTGAATTAATGTGTAATTTTATGTTAGATGTAACTTTTTATGAGAGTTTTTAACCGTAATAAAATTAAAATTGAAAACTTAATTCGGTAAAATCAACGAAGCTAGAAATTATTAGTTTCTCTCAGGCTTTTTGTATCCTCAATAAATTATATTTTAGTTTCGTGATGTATCGTAAAATCGATGCGTATCAATTTCAAAAAATACGTATACGTATGCAGGCCGATAGGGCGAAAAGCTTACCACAAGAATTACCCGGCGGAAATGATGCGAGAGACGGTGAAGTTGGAGGCAGAGGAAGTGAAGAGCAAGAGTGTTAGGAGTGAAAATAGTACTTTCGGCAGCAATCTTCTGTGGGTTCCCCATGAGAAGACTGGAATTTATTACCCCAAAGGCCACGAGAAAGTCATGGAAGACATTCCTCCCAACGCTGGAAAGGACGCCATTACCATTAATTGGTTTTCATATGATGACAACATTTGATCAACTTGGGTTGAATTGTTATACTCAAATTAAGGAGAGTCATCCTTATTCAGGATCTCTCTACTTTTTTATGGTTTGAATGACCCACAAGTGTTTTTTTTTACTTTTTTTTTTTTTTTTTTTTGTGATAATTTGTTTTCTAATTTCATTTTGTCTTGACGAATTCGTTCTAATTTTCTCAACAATATAATATCGGAGCCAATAATTTTTTTTTCCAGGAGCGACAATCAAATTAAAGTTTGAACTAAATTCCAATGCAATATTTTTTCTTTTTATCTCCATTTCCAAATTTAAATCACTTTTCCTAAATTTATTTTAAATTAATTAAGCTCATAGTACAGTTAAATTTTAATGTTTTAATAGTTTTCGGTAATTTTAAGTAAGAAATAAGGATGCACTTTATAGTCAAAATTAAGGTATAATTTGAATAATAATAAAAAAGTTGAGACTTTCTCCAATAGGGCCTTTCTATTGATCAGACCAACTTTTAACAGTTAGATTTGGTTAAAATTATCGTAGATTAAAAAAGTATGCAGAGCAAAAAAATTTTAATATAGATCTAACAGCAAAAGACTATCAGTAATTTATTTTTCTGATCTTACTGGAGAAACTTCTAAAAAATTTATATACTTAAAGGCAAAATAATTGAGAAGTTTTTTTTTTTTTTTAAATTATGTAGACGAGACACTTAAAAAATTTAAGTTTGGGTGGGAAAGTAAAAAATATTTACATTAGGGAGAAATCTTAAAAGGAGCGCAATTGGGGGACATAAAATCAATTAAATGAAACAAAACGGCTCATACCTCTTCTAATAATACTAGTTGAGGCACACGCTATGCTCGTGGATTTTATAAGTTTGATCCTACATCAAAATACGTAGATTTCTTAGAAACTAAGTCTACTAATTGGAGAAAGATGACAAAAATATTAAAAAATCACATCAAAAAAAATTAATACAAAAGTTTTGACTAAAAAAAACTTAAATAGGGATATATTTAAAAAGAATTATTTTAATTAAAAGAATGTGAGAAAAAAAATACTTCAAAAAAAGATTTTGTAACAAAATAAACTGTAAAATAGTGTTAAACGAAAAAACAAAAAAAAAAAGGACAATACGCAAAAGAAAAGAAGAAAAATATTTAAAAAAGAAAAAGAAGAAAAAAAAAACTGTACAGGAGTTTCAAGCTAAAAAAAGAAAAAGAAAACAAAAGTGAAAAGAATATAAAAAGTAAGAAAAAAAAAAACACGAAGGAATAAATTAGAGGTTGACATATGGTTGAAGGAGAAATAACCTCTTTAGCTCTTTTATGTATTTTTAAATTAGATCTTTATATTAGAGCCACCAGAAATATGATGGTTTTCTTCTTTTTCACCTTCTGAAATGCTAATAGGGTTCGATACTACATAATCTTAGTTAGTTTTACTCTTATCATAATTCATAAAAACAATATTATTTAGAAAAAAGGAGATAAATACTCCTTGTAGTATATGAGTCTGAATTTTTATCTCTTATTTTTAATTAATATCATTTTTAGTCAATTAATAGTTAAAAGGTTATTAAATAAGAATAAGATGTGAAAATTTAAACTCATACACCTCAAGAAATATTTATCTTGTTTACCCTTATTCCTACGTTTACAGCTATAGCACGTAGATGTGTAAATATAGTTGTTTTATAGAAAAAATAGAGAATTTACCTTTAAAAGTATATGAGTTTAGATATTTACCTCTTACTCTTAATAAATACTCTTTTATTAGTATAATTATTTAACTAAAAAATTATAAATTAAGAATATAGAATAAAAATCATAACTCACACACTTTAAAAATATTTGTCAAAATTACCCTTATTTATCAGCCAAGCTTAAAGGGCCACATGGGTGAGCTTTTGAACGTAAAGTTTAGGCCCAAACCAAAGGACGAAATATGAAAATATTGAAAAAAAAAGGAAAAAATAAAAAACACAACTCAAAATAATAATAATAAATACAGTAAATAACATATTTTAAACATACCACTGTAATTTATAGCATTTTTTTTACTATTAGTAAATTATCACATATTTAGAATTTTCATGATAAAACAAATACTGATTCTCTAATTTTACCCTTGTCTCTTAGGTTTTGATTTCCTTTTTTTTTTTTTGTCACAAAACACTCAAGACTCCTTTCTCTCTCATCCTCCTCCAATTCTGCTCTGATAATTTATTAAACACCCTATCAAATATATTATTTCTCTCATTCTTTTAATAATAAAAAAATATTATTTATATTATTTCACTAAAAAATAAATAATCACTATTCAATTAATAAAAGCATAAATAATAGAATAACATTCATAGAAATATGACGTAAATAATATTTATTATTATTATTATTATTATTTACGAGGGATTACATCATTTGAACTTTAATCAACATTATTGTTCTATTGCAATGAGAGTCTCGTCTCTTCTGTTCCCTTAAGATCACGTGTAATTTAAGCAAATTATTATTGTACTGTGTGCCACAAGGAATAAACTATGAATGATTAGCCAATAAATAATCAAGGCAATACTATTATAATGAAAAAGATAATAAACATCATTATCAAATCTCAAAATGGATCCTGCTATTAATGAAAAATAAATGGGCCGGACCAAGCGGAAGAAATGAAATGTTCAACTTGTCTGGGCCGGTAAGGCCGTAACCAAAGCTTGTGGAAGGCCCTTTGTGCGCGTAGTAGGTGAAGGAGCATTCTTGTAGAATGCGAATCTTGACAAAGTATCCATTAAAAGAGCATATGAGTTAAGATTTTTATTTTTAATTTATAATTTTTTTAGTTAAATAATTTCACAAATAAAAAGTATTTATCATGAGTCAGACTCATACACTTAGAATAAATTCTCCATTTTATTCACAAACTTATCCACTAGTTTTTGCGGTTGGTGTTAATTCTATATAATGGAAAAACCAGATGATTGTGACCCCACCAAAACTACCCTTCACCAACTCATGCCTTAGATTCTCTATCCCAACAACAACCGATATGTGTGTATATATATATATATATATATGTATATATGTATATATATATTACTTTTAGATTGAGGATTCGTTTGGTTTGCAAAACAAAAATTACTATGTATTGAAAAATAAGAAAAACAGGAGGACAAAAAAAAAGCATGTCTTGTGAGTTTAACTACATACTTTTCTAGGATTGTTGTGTGTGTGTATTTTCTTTTAAAGAAATATTTTTTCTTTTTGCAAAAATAGAAACCCAAACAGAATTACAACATAATTTAAATTGTGCTTCTATAAAGTGCCACTTTGCACTTTTACCAAACAATCTGGTTGCACATTGTTTATGCAAGGATTCAAAAAGCAATCCCTAAGTGTAAGAGTGACTCTTTAAAAGAAACAAAAGTAATCGTATTTTGCAAAAAAGTTAGGAACAGTACTACTATTAGTAATGAACACTACAATTAATAAAAAAAAATGAACTTCTTCAGTAAGTCTTAAATCCAGTGATTCACTTATTAGTGTGGTGTGGTGTTAGGTAGTGATGGGTGTCACTAGTATTGCTTAAGGTTTTAAAAATCAAGCTAAAAATATATATATATATATATATTTCCATGTCATAACACGGATCCTTGAATCAAACGCAATGTTCAATGCACCACTTCCCAACCGTCCTCATTTCAAACTATTTTCAACACTAAAAACGTGGAAAGCAGAATGCAAATCCTTGCTAAAAGACTTGAAAGCGGCCTATGTACAAATATACGTACACACTAATTAGATGTACTTGAGATTCGTCCTTCTGCATTTTCGCATCCAGTTAATTCGACTTCTAAGCTCATGAAACAAATTCATGAAATTTTCCCACATTAGGTTATATTTTGACGATTTATATATCCACATTATGTTATTTTTCTATGATATGTGAAATTCACATTTCACATTGTTATATACGTGTCTTCCACTGAAAAGCCAAACAATATGACCCAAGTTTAGGATTACCATTCCGATTTCACCCCTAATAAACTACTTTTATTTCCGACTGACTCCCTCCACCAACCACACCACCTATTCCAACAAAACCAATAATGAGTAATTTATAGGATCATCTGCATCGTCCTCTCCAGGAGCAGTCATTGATTAACTCCAAACAAGCTCCTAAATCTTTCCACCTGTTTCTCTTCTTTTTCCAGTTAGTTTCTCTATTACGGATTATGGCCGATTCAGCGGATCAGAAAGACATTATATTTCGCTCAAAACTCCCCGATATCTACATCCCCAAACATCTCCCTCTCCACACTTACTGCCTCTCCAACAAATCCCAGCAGCGCTCTCGTCCCTGCCTCATCAACGGCCCCACCGGAGATGTCTACACCTACGCCGACGTCGACCTCAAAGCCCGAAAGGTCGCCGCGGGCCTCCACAAGCTCGGCGTGCGAAAAGGCGATGTTGTCATGGTTGTTCTTCCCAATTCGCCGGAATTCGTCCTGACCTTCTTGGGAGCGTCTTATCGCGGCGCCATGACGACGGCGGGCAACCCCTTTTTCACCTCCGCCGAGATTCTAAAGCAAGCTAGGGCTTCCGACGCGAAGCTCGTCGTCACGCAAGCTTGTTACTACGACAAGGTTAAGGATTTGAAACTTGACAATGAAGACGACAACATCACGATCGTGTGCGTGGACGCCCCGGTCCCCGAAGGTTGTTTGCATTTCTCCGAGCTGACTAATTCCGACGAGAACGCCTTGCCGGCGGTGGATATCAGCCCCGACGACGTCGTCGCGCTGCCGTACTCTTCGGGCACGACGGGGCTGCCGAAGGGGGTGATGCTGACGCACAAGGGACTAGTGACGAGCGTGTCGCAGCAGGTGGATGGGGAGAATCCCAACTTGTATTACGGCGAGGACGACGTCGTTTTGTGCGTGCTGCCGCTGTTCCACATATACTCGCTGAACTCGGTGCTGCTGTGCGGGCTGAGAGCTGGAGCAACGGTCGTGATCATGCCCAAGTTCGAGATCGGGTCGCTGCTGGAGCTGATTCAGAAGTACAAGATCAGCGTTGTGCCGATTGTGCCGCCGATCGTGTTGGCGATCGCCAAGTACCCGAGTCTGGATAAATATGACTTGTCGTCGCTGAGGGTTCTTAAGAGCGGAGGAGCACCGCTGGGGAAGGAGCTTGAATACACGGTGAGAGCCAAGTTTCCCAACGTCACGCTTGGACAGGTAACCTAACATAAATGTAAACATGGAAACTTCTTTTTTTTTCTTTTTAAGACAAACCATGCACTTTAGAGCCTTCGGTAAATGGATCCAGAATTATAATTGTGATTTTACGACGTTTAGTTAGAGGATTCAAATTATGTGATTCGAATCATTTTTTATTTACGTGAATTTTTTGTGAGAGAAAATACTGTAGCGAACCACGAATCATGATTCGAATCAGGAAATAAATCCCTCCACCAAACATCCCTGATTCAGAATCAGTAACGTTTGGTTTATGTATTTAGAAACATGATTCAGAACCATTCTAGTTTTACGTGTATTTTTTTGAGAGAAAACACTGTAAAAACTCATAAATCATGATTCAAAATCAGAGACGAATATAGAAAACAAACGTCCTGATTTTTGAATCATGATTCAGAATTTGATGTGATGTTTTAAACCAGAATCACTCATGATTCTAAAACCACCCTCCTCTTGGTTCAAGGTTATTCAAACATATGATTTTGAATCATAATTTCAGAATCATGATTTAAACTCAAAATTATGAATCGTGGTTATGGTTACAGAATCATGATTAGAATTATCATGATTTAAATCCTCTTACTAAACGAACTCTTAAAATTTTATCATTTTTCTTTTATAATAAGAGATCTTTTATAGTTTACTAACATACCATAATTTACTAACATATGAGTAGATTAAATTTTATGTTTACATAAAATTATATAAAAATAAAAAAATACACAATTTTAATAATTAAAAAAATTTAACCTATAACGCAACAAACGTACTAAAAAAATCTCCCTTAAAATAAAGATCTTAGGAGAATTGTCGATAAACTTTTGAAAAGATCACAAGAGTTAGGTCGATAAACTTTACACTAATTCTGACTAGCTAGGGCCCACGCCACTTGCTCCGACCTACAAGTTGGCTCCATATTATAAAAAATAAAAAAAATAAAAAAAAAAATCTGATGGACATCCTTTGATCTCTTTAACCTCTTTAGTTATAGCAGCAATTTTAGATACGATTAAATATGTGAAAATAACTTGAATTAGTCTTTCACGACATTCACCCAGTTTTTCTATAGTTGAAGAATATTTATAAGTTCTGTTTAAGGAGAAAAAAAAAAAAGGGGTATTTGTTGGTTGCCTAGGCAAAAAAGTGAAAAGAACCATATTAACATTGACAATTCCACGTGAAGGACCCGGCACACATACATGTCATGAGTCATCACATTGACAAAAATATAAAAGTCGGAATTTAAAAAATCCACCTTTACAGCTTTTTAATTTTTATTTTTGTTTCCACATAACTTTTGCTAGCTGAGGACATAACTTAGTACGTTGATGAGGCGGCCACTTTGATTAGGTTGTCCCAATAAGACCAATGCACACCTTTCCCACTGCCACTAGTTCTGCAAGATGTTACAAAAAATAACATGTAATGGCCCCATCAACTTTTGATATTATTAATATTAATCATGATTCGTAGGTTACCTAACATGTTATCGGCATATATTTTGTTATTGTTATCATTTATTGCGTAATTTAAAGCTCGTTTAGTTCGTTGATTCGAGTTGAGATGTGACTTTATATGAGAATTTTTTATTATAATAAAAAAATTAGATATAATTGTTCCTGAGAGTTTTTTATTGTAATAAAATATAAATTTTAAACTCGAATCGGTGAAATAAACGAGGCCTAATAGTACTCTGGCTCAAAACATTGTATTCCTTTTTTTTTTTCTTTTTCCCTTTGAAGGATAAAAGATCCATTATTCTTTTCGCTCGAGAAAATTAATGTTCCAAGTTAATAATAAAGTTCTGCAGAATAATTTACGACCTTATCCTCTTCCTCGGACCGCCATTCCGAAGGAATGGAGGAAGGTCCGACCTTACCCTCCTCTCTCGTCCCGCCATTCCGAAAGAATGGAATAAAGGGACGACACTACTTGTATTAACGGCCCACCATTCCGAAGGAATGGGATAAGGGCCGACCTTCTAAAAAGAAAAAGGCCCTTCATTCCGAAGGAATGGAATAAAATGCCTACCAAAAGAAAGAGTAGTAACAATCAATAGTAGTTAAAGTTTGAGGCCCTCCATTCCGAATGAATGGAATAAAGGGCCTACCAAAAGAAAAAGTAGTAACAATCAATAGTAGTTAAAGTTTGAGGCTCGCCATTCCGAAGGAATGGAATAAAAGGGCCTACCTTAAAAAAGTAAAGCGTTTTGTAATACAATCATACCTTAATTTTACCGTATAGAGCCTTTGAAAAGGAAAAAGAAAATCAATATTATTCTTTGTAACATTAATTTGTCTCTTAGTTTAATGCATTTCAACCCTTTTTCTGCGGTTTTCAAATACATCTTTTTTTTTTAATTTTCATATTATTAAGTTTTATTACAAAATTAAAATAAAAATATTTACTCCTTTTTCATTTCATGTTCCGGGGTTAAAATATTTGATTAGTAACATTAGTTGTGAGATTAATATTAAATATCACGGCAGGGGTATGGAATGACGGAGGCAGGGCCAGTACTAACGATGTCGTTGGCGTTTGCTAAGGAGCCCATGGAAGTAAAACCAGGGGCATGTGGAACTGTCGTAAGGAATGCAGAGCTCAAAATTGTTGATCCTGAAACCGGCTCCTCCCTCCCACGCAACCAGCCTGGCGAGATTTGCATTAGAGGCGATCAGATCATGAAAGGTATGTATCAAAATTCAATCAACAATATTTATTGAAGGAGATAATCCATTTTCTTTCTCTTTCTTAGCTCAAATTGTTAATAAATTTTGAATTTAGAATTCGAGTTTTATACTACAGTAAAAAAATTCTTATAAACGGTCACATCTAACTTTTTTATTACAGTAAAAAAATTTCACATAAAGTCACATCTCAACTGTAATTAAAAACTCGAATCAATGAACTAAACATGCCCAAATATGATACATCATACCCACAATCCAAAAATGATAATTGGCTATGTGGCGGTGGCGGTGGCGGAGCCACAACTCCGCATAAATAAAGTGGTGGGTGGGTCTCATTCTCTTATGGGGCTCATTTGTGTGTTTTGAGGAGTTATGACTGTGTTTGGAATTATTTTTTATTTTTGTTTTTCATGTTTTTGAGAAAGAAAAAATAAAAACGGGAGAGAAACGGCGTTTAACACAATTAAAGATAAAAAACGGAAATAAAAACGATTTTTTAATTTAGTGTAAAATGAGAGATAAATTAAAAACGACTTTTAATCATTTTTCATTTTTTGTTTTCGTTTTCTCCTATCTCGAGCAGAGAGAGAGAGATTAATTGATTTTTTTATATTAAAAATAATCTCTTGATAAAACTATTAAACGCATTTTTAAAAATGATTTATGTCTGAGATTGAAACCGTTTTCATTTTCATTTTTATACAAAAAATAAAATTATTTTAGAACGAATTCCAAACGCACTCTACAGCTCTGCGGAACTATAGGTTTAATATACGTTACATCTGTATATAGTTGGTTTATTGTCCTCGTCACGATGGTAGAATTGGGTGTAAAATGAATGTTTACTCTTTAGGTTATCTCAATAATCCGGAGGCTACAAAGAACACAATAGACAAAGAAGGATGGCTACACACAGGTGACATTGGGTTGGTGGATGATGATGAGGAGCTCTTCATTGTGGATCGCTTAAAAGAGCTCATCAAATACAAAGGCTTTCAGGTGGCCCCCGCAGAGCTTGAAGCCTTGCTTCTCACTCATCCTCACATCTCTGATGCCGCTGTTGTCCCGTATGTCAACAATTTTGTCTTTTTTTTTTTTTTTTTGTTAGTTCAGAAATGAAACTAATTATTGAACAACCTTTTTTAATATTTTTTTTATTAAATAGTATGAAAGATGAAGCAGCTGGAGAGGTTCCTGTTGCATTTGTGGTGAGGGCAAATGGATCTCAGATCACTGAGGACGAAATCAAACAATTTGTTTCTAAACAGGTAAAACCCTATAGCTCCTTTTATTTGCCTTTTCTTTTTATTCGCTAGTTATATATGCGTGCAAATTAGAGAGAAGATTCCAAAAAAAAAAAAATTAATAATAATAAAATAAAATCGAGAGAAGAGAAGAGAAGAGAAGATCACGGTGTCACGAGACAAATGCCCGTTCATTTCATCGATTTGAGTTTAGAATTTAAATTTTATTACAATAAAAAGCTCTCAGAAATAGTCACATCTAACTTTTTTATTACAATACAAAACTCTTATATAAAGTCACATTTTAACTCGAACTAAAAATTCGATTCAGCGAATTAAACAGACTCAAAATGATTACATGAGTGTAGTGCTTCTAAAATGACCTTTTGGTATCACGTTTTAAATTAGGTCATAGCCCATTCTTCTCGATATCATGAGTTTTTTTGTTTTTACATTAAATTTGATTAGAATCATATTAAATAACAAAAAAACATGTGAACTAATAAATTATATGTTATCAATTGAACGTTTTGCGCAATAAATTTTAAAATCAGAGGATGAATTGTTAATAATTTTAGTTGAGGAGAGAACAATATATAGTTTATTATGATTTTGTGCAGACCTATTATTTATGTTATTTAAAAAAAATTAAAGAAAAAATATATAGTTTGTCATGATTTTGTGGAGACCTATTATTTATGTAATTCTAAATCATTGAGTGGCCTTATGACTTTTATTTTCTCTTTATTAATTGAATGATAATTATTTATTTTTTAGTAGAATAACAAAAATAATATTTTTTTTACCATCTTAACTAAGTTTTCTTTTTTTTTTTCTTATTTATTATCATTTCATTGATTTGAGTTTAGAATTTAAATTTTATTACAATAAAAAGTTCTCAGAAATAGTCACATCTAACTTTTTTATTACAATATAAAACTCTTATATAAAGTCACATTTTGACTCGAACTAAAAATTCGATTCAGCGAATTAAACGGACTCAAAATGATTACATGAGTGTAGTGCTTCTAAAATGACCTTTTGGTATCACGTTTTAAATTAGGTCATAGCCCATTCTTCTCGATATCATGAGTTTTTTTGTTTTTTTGTTTTTTACATTAAATTTGATTAGAATCATATTAAATAAAAAAAAAAACATGTGAACTAATAAACTATATGTTATCAATTGAACGTTTTGCGCAACAAATTTTAAAATTCAGAAGATGAATTGTTAATAATTTTAGTTGAGGAGAGAACAATATATAGTTTATCATGATTTTGTGCAGACCTATTATTTATGCTATTTAAAAAAAATTAAAGAAAGAATATATGATTTGTCATGATTTTGTGGAGACCTATTATTTATGTAATTCTAAATCATTGAGTGGCCTTATGACTTTTATTTTCTCTTTATTAATTGAATGATAATTATTTATTTTTTAGTAGAATAACAAAAATAATATTTTTTTTACCATCTTAACTAAGTTTTCTTTTTTTTTTTCTTATTTATTAATTTATTTATTGGTAGTATGCTAATTGGCGTAAGAATCTTTCTTCAACAAAGTGAAATTGAAACTGATCCGTCATAATAATATTATGAAATTGGCATTTGTGTTGCAGGTTGTGTTCTACAAAAGAATAAATCGAGTAATTTTCATCGAGGCCATTCCAAAGTCTCCATCAGGCAAAATCTTGCGGAAGGACTTGAGAGCGAAACTTGCCGCTGGCTTTCCTAACTAATAAATTAATTACTACTCAATGCTTCTCTTGAAATTGTATTTATCAATATATTGAATTTTTCTATGTGTACGTTTATTGTGCGCACAAGGAATTAAAAGTTTAAAGAATTAATAAGTTGCAGTATTTTGGAATTCTTTTGTTGAGTCAAAATTAAAATAAACAAAATTATTGACGAGATATATAAATACAAATTGTATTTTTTTTTTAATTAAAGGGTAACCATTCAACCGAAGCAAATATTATAATTATAAATCTTACAAAAATTTAAAGATGAATACAATAAAACAATCCATTATAATAAACAAAACAGTCAAATCAGTGCTTCTACTAAAGAATGAGGACGATTTCTTCGTGCACTCAAGTTTTGGAAAATGAATTTCGGATATTCAAAATACCCCCAACTCTGTGGTAGGCTCTTGTGACTAATATGATTATTGACATTGATCTTTACTCACTTAAAATCTTCTACATAGGGCTCTAAAAAGTTATAATCTCACAAGCAACCACACAAAAACAAATAAAAACGATAAACTTAAAAGAGTTACTAAACTAAATTAAGGTTTAAGTGTACAAAATTTATCATTGGATTAAAATTTCGTCTAACACTTGTCCAACGTCTTTAGGCTGATAATTTAAATTGAACAAACAAATAATGTAAGGAAATTAGAACAACACTCAAAGAAAACAAAAAGCCTTAGAAGAATAATAAGAACAATAAGAGCAAAGTACAGACGATCACAAGACAAACAAGAATAAATGTTTATCTTTTTTCCTTAAACCGAGAGAATTTATAATACATTAAAATTAAGAGAGTTTAATTCCTCCAATTAATTCAAAAATTTATTATTTCTTTAATACAATAAGACTCTTCATATTTTTTGGCGTTATAAATAAATTAAACTTGAGCCATTGAATACCTTTAATCGTTGACCGTTACTTGACATTAATACTTGATAACTCTTGACCTTTTAACTTCTGCCCTACCTGAGCACACGCTCGGGTGGTTATCTTAGCACGCGCTCAGGTAAGCGTAAGCTCGGGTGATTATCTAAATGTACGCTTGGATCTCCCGAAAACTTATTACATTTTTTACTAGCTTTGAAAAATCCATCCAATAACTATTATAAAATGAGATCTAAGTAAACTTTTATCTTTATTCATTACAAAAATACTAAACCTACAAAATAAAAGAAAATGAAAAGAAATCTGGGATGAAGATGAGAAAAGAAAAGAAAAGAAAATAAATGAATATAGAAATTTTAGGGTGGTCTAATTCTAAAATAAGAAATGCTAGTGTCACTTGTTTAGTTACTTACTCTCTTTCTCACCCTCTTTATTCTTCTTTTGTCACGTGCCATCTCATTTTCTAATAAAAATAAAGTGCTCTCAGATTGTAATTCTTTAGCGTGTTTTATCTAATATAATCTCTAAGGTAATTTAAATACAGCTTAGGCTAAAGCGCACATGCCTTGCACGTGCCAATCTCAGCTAGTAATAAGAATAAAAATATTCAAAAGATATATTTATATTACATTATAAAATGTTTTTTTCTGCCCAGGTTAAACTTTTAACCCCGTTTATAACCTACTCTATTTAAACTATATTTTCTTCGCCTCGTTTAAGGCGGCTTATAACGGATAAATGAGTTCGTTTAGTTCATAGATTAAAATTATGTGATTAAAATTATTTTTAATTTATGTATATTTTTTTATGAAAAAAAATATTATAACGAATCATGATTCGAATCAAAAAACGAATTCCTTTATCAAACGAAAATGGGTAAAATTATTATCCCTAAATTATATACGTCGGCCACGTATGAATACAAAGAAGATGAAAAGCGACAAACGTAGCCGACTAAAAAATAAAAAAGAATAATGCCAAAAAGGAAAAAAAGTTTAATGATGACCTGTCTGCTATAAATTCGTCATCCCTAATCTATATATGTTGGCCACGTGTGAATACAAAGAAGATGAAAAATAACAAACGTAATCCAGCAAAAAATAAAAAAGAAAAAAAAGTTTGATGATGATTTGACTGCTTTGAGACTAGTATGTATATAAATGTAGCAATTTAATAGATTTATATATTTCCATCTTTTTACGTTAGTTTCAAATTTAACCCTCAAAGAACATGGTTTGTCTTATATTACCTCTTATAGATAAAAATTATACAAAATTGGTTCCTCAACTTAAGTTACAACTTTGGTGGTACTTCCATCAATAAAATGTCAATGTTTTAATAATTTTAAACATTTGTGGATCACATTATTCATTTGTAAAAGGCTATAGGAAGTGATGAAGATGTAGGGGTTCTAAGTAAAGAAATAGGCTTCCAAAAAAAAAAAAAGGTAAAGAAAGAGGCAATATTTACGGTCAAAGCGATAAAGTATTTGTGGTTTCTTTTAACTTTTTAAAAATTTAAAGTTTATTCTATTTAAATTTATTATATGTCTCTTTATCACACAATAATGTGACTGACACATATTTAAAACTCCTAAGAAATGATGTTTTAATGATAAATGTATTAAAATTGAAACTTCTAACGAGTTTGGAGTCAATTTTGTAACCGTTTAAACTAAGAGAGGGGAGAAGTAAGACAACCTCTATTTTTCAGGGGTTAGATTTGAAATTTAATCCTTTTATTTTGAGAATTTTCATGGATTTTTTTTTAATTTTTGTTTTTCTAATTCTGACTAAAAAGAAATGAGTTAAATTCATAAATAGTTCTTGATTTTTTTTTCTTTTTCTTTAATTAGTTCTTGTAGTCACTTTATCTTATG